TGCTGCAAATATAACATACATTAAATAACCCCCATATAGCGTACATGAATCACCTTGTAGCAGATCTATACAGGTGGAGCTGTGGAAGGTGGAGGGTTTCTGAAGCAAGCTGCAACTGCTACGGCAAGCACTAAGTCATATATTTGAATGTTGAGCAGCGAGCTCATTGGCTACCGATACAGGAGAGAACCAATCAGCTGTGCCATGTGATAATGATGTCATTAGGTCAGATTGAGTTAGACCTATCGGACTCCGCCATCTAGAGTTTCATGCCAGAACTCTGTATTTATTTATTTCCACAAAAATTAATTTGAGATCAATAATTTGTGGACCCATGCAGTACTTTTGCTGATCCCATGTTGAAGACCCCTGATCTACATGTTGTCTCATCTGCTTTGGCAAAACAAATAAGAAATTTCATCTCCTTTACAACAGCACCATGCTGAATTATAACTGCTATGACTGAACGCATCTTTGGCACTCTAATTCTCACTGCTGGATTGTATTTGAATGTTGGGGAACAAAATTGGCAGTAATCCTTTGATAGTTTTGTGCTAAAGCCAATGCACAACGGCTCTGAACTTGTCATCCTGCAAGCTGTGACTGCTAACATTTCTGGAGCTCTCCAGAGCATCCATCAACAAATACATTCACACACACACATTCACACAAGACTTAGTGTCTTGTGCGCATTTTCAAGGACAAACGTCTCTTTTACAGAATCACACTGTGTTTGTGATTCTATGTTTATCATAACGTTCCGTGCCTTTAAAAATAAATGTTATATTTGTATATTATTCGCTCTATTTTGTCTAGGAGGAAATGTAGCCAAAAAGACTCTCAAAAAGTTATTTGGTTTGAAGGTTAAAGTTCAAGGCAACATGAGAGTTTTTTTTTAATCATTTGAATTTAATAATATCGCTACATGCCAAAGCCAGTTTTGGAGGGTATATTAAATAGATAATTACTTCCATAAGGCATAACCATATTCTGCAAGTGTCAGCAAACTTTGTGCACTCTCTATTCTAGAGAGACATCTCAAATTAGGAAGACTTGGGTCCATAGATGGTGCTACAGCAACTTCATTACTGAGTTTATATTATACATTCAATTTACCGTCACCTTAAAATTTCCCAGTGGGATATAAACTATTAATCTAAATGAATTAACATGCACACTGTAGAATTACATCTGCATGTCTGTTTCCAGTCCAACACCGATCTGCATGTATTAAAACAACCTACAGGTCAAGACAGGATCGTAAGATTGCATCTCTATGCGTCAGACAGCACAAGGCATTTAAATTTTCAGTATGTATTTTCTGCATAAATTCATATAAATCAGGCATTGTCTGCATTGAGCTAGAGATTCAGATATAAAAGCATTAAGGCTAGAGATCCGGTTTTCAGACATGCTGCAATCAGACAGCAATGTGAAGGACCATCTAAATGTGTCTTATGACAGATAATGAGAGAAGCTTAGACTTGGATTGCCCCCGTCCACCTTCATTTCAACTAATCATCTTCTCATGTCGATACAGTAAAGTGAAGTAAATATGGGCAATAGCTTGAAATCTCAAGTTTTTCTTCACCTCCATTTCAAATGCATTAACATTTTCGGTATTTATGTTAACTCATTTCAGATATTGTCTGTCTTGAATTAGAGATCAAGCTATTGGAAGAGATTTGGGTTCAAGGCTGAAACCAGGCAGCACTGTGCATCTAAACACGCCTGATGCTATATAACAAGGTCAACTTAGACCTGGCTTGGCCCCATCAACCTTCATTTCAACTAATCATTATGTTCTTAGAACTATCACCTCAACGACTCCTAAAAACCCACTGAATAACACCACCAGGGGCAATTTTGATTTTATAAGGCCATGCTGGAGCCAATTTATCATCGCAGAGAAATTACACCTGTGACTTTTTCAAAGTTCTCCACCGCTGCCCAAGGCAACCTTTCAGGCAAGTACAAAATCGGTCTTCCATTAAGATATTTCTTTGTCAAGCAACTTTTAGAGTGGGAAGAAAGTCAAATAATGCCAAACAAATAACAGATAACACCTAAGTTTGAGTGAAAGCCTCTCTGATGTTTGTACAGGGGAGCCTTTTTGCTGTCCCTCTCAAGAGTTTTTTCTTCAGTCACAAGACCTTGGAGGGTCTGATTAGGTCGTGCTGGCTCTCTGGAATTTTAAATTGCTCTAAAAAGGTGAAGGGTTGGTTGATTCATTAAACCTTTTTTTTTTTTTCAACTGCCTTCTTTTTCCACACCAGTCGATGTAATCAATTTTTCATTAGCGGCAAGGTGTTTATCTGTTTTTAGCACTTCCAGGTTCCAGCGGGAGGCGGGTCGATCCACGCCACACACCCGTTAATTAAAGTTTATTTAATTGAGATGGAACAATGGAGGTAATGAAAAGACAAAACCCCAACTGTGCAAGCAAGTGGACTCCCATTGCTTCCATGGCCAGAGCTAGAAGTGGGTCGAAGCTAAGCTCACAAACACCCAGATGAAAGTAATGGCTTAGTGGCTTAACTACATCTTAAACAAATATTTTTATATTCAGTAAAAGCTAAAAGTTTAAATAGAACATTTCTGTATAGCAGTATTGTTATATTTCATTGCTAATGAAAATCCTATTTAAAATTCAACTGTTATTAAATAGAAGCCTTACAAAATTACTTCAATTTGTACAGGAATATAAAAGTAAATATATATACACTACCATTTAAAAGTTTGGGTCAGTATTTTCATTTTATTTTATTTATTCATTTAGAAAGAAATTAATACTTTTATTCAGCAACAGTATATTATATTGGTCAAATCTGACAGTAAAGACATTGACAATGTCACAAAAAGTACTGATCTTTTGAACGTTCTATTGATCAAAGAATATTCAAGAAAAAAAAAACTATCACAGTTTCCACAAAAGTATTAAGCAACATTAAGAATAATGCAAAATGTTTCTTAAGCACCAAATCAGCATATTAGAATGATTTCAGAATGATCATGTGATATTGAAGACTGGAGTAATGGCTGCTGAAAATCCAGTTTTGACATCACAGGAATAAATTACATTTTAAAATATATTAAAATAAAACAGCTATTTTAAATTGCAACATTACGTCACATTATTACTGTTTTGATCAAATAAAAGCACCCTTGGTGAGCATAAAACATTAAAAAATCTCCAAACATTTGAACAGTAGCATAAGTGTCAATCTAACTTTAGATCACATATAAACAGAAGATTTTTTTTTCTTTCAATACTGTAACAGAGCACATCAAATTGAATCTGGGGTGATATCTGTTTTACTATAACACTTTTTGATAACTGCAGCAGCACATTTATTGTTTTTCTTTCACATTTACATTTCACAAATTCCCTTACTACAAAACCACGGGCACTTATGATGGCATAATTCCCACAACATTCTCTGAAGAAACAGCCTGACAGCTACATTTCTTTTTCTTTTCACCAATTACTTACAGGCATCACAAGGGGAATGTAAGTTATAGCTACTTCTGTAAGATTAGCGTGTAGTATGTGCGTCATGGCCACAGGAAATGCTGACGTGATCGAAAGGTTACTCACAACAGGCTAATCAAAGTAGAAACATAAACATTAGTGTACCTAACAGCACACAGTGTGGGCAGCATGTCAAAGCACAGAACATGTCCTATAGTAATGATTCAATTACCTACAGTGGGGTGCAAAAGTCAGAGACCACACAGAAAATTTCTAAATCTAATATAAACCTGGGAAAAAAAAGTCTTGAGGTTTTCTAATAGCCTTCCAAAGCCAAATCAAACCATATACTGTACCACATAATCAGTGAATCAGTAGTACCTGTAGAGCAGTCAGGACCAGTCCAGTTGACATCACAGATGCAGGAGTTGGTCTCACTCTGGAATGTACCGTGGCCAGTGCAGTGTTCTGGACACATAGAGAGATGTGTCTCACAGTTCGATCCGGTCCAGCCTGAGGTACAGTGGCACTGACCATGGAGACAGGAGCCATGGCCTGAACAGGATGAGTCCACACAGTCCACTGTGGAAAACAACAGTATTTTCAGACCATTTTCTTAGAATTACCTTCACATTTTTTAAATGACTTTTAACCAATAATTTAAAAACTAACAATGTCTTCATGTGAAATGTTTTGCTTGAAAAATGCTATACTTCTTCAAAAATACAGTACCATTCAAACGTTTGAAGTTGGTAATTTAGTAATATTTTTTTAAATAATTTGTTCACCAAGGCTGCATTTATTTGATAAAAATACATTAAAAAGATATATTATTATTAGGGCTGTCATTTTAGGGATTACATTTAATTAATTAGTTACAAAAAATAACGCAATTAAAATATTTTAACGCATTTAACGCACTGGCCCCACCCCAGATCTATACGTCATCTTACATTTCATACAATTTACTGTCGAGTTGACAAACACTGTGCAGGGGAAAACCTCACTGCATGATGTAGCCTATAAAATGCAGTTATATGCCCTTAAAATTTAAGATATTGGGGCAAAAATGCCCCTGTATGTATGTTTTTGTCTCATATTTATACAATATATGATAAGCGTTATAACACAAGCAGTGAGGGCAGTATCAAATGAGTGCTGTTTTTGTCCAGAATAGCACGAATGCAAATGTGAGAAGTTAATATCGTTATATTTTAGATTTTAGGCAATGTTGTCTGTTTTGTTCAATTTTGTCAAAGAAAATTTTACCTATAAAGCCACAGCAGGACTGAGCAACACAGTGGTGATTCGTTTCTGAATGAATCTGCGTTTTGAATGAATCGGGCGAACCAATGATGCAATGGCCCATTCATAAAGTAAGCCATTTACTCAATTTCTGAATAAATCAGCAGTTTGAACCAATCCAATGATTAAATGACTCATTACTTACTCATAAAGACAATTACCGCCACCTGCTGGCAGTTTTAGTTTCTTATTTAGAGTATAATTTCATTAAAAAATAATAAATAAATAAATAAATAAAGTGATAGTTCATGGAACATAAAAGAAAATAATGAATGTTGGTAACCAGAAGAAAAAGAAGAATGTTGGTAAACAAGCTGATTTGGTTATTTGGTAAATACTGAGGTGTTTCTCAAATTATCTTCTTTTATGTTTCATAGTTTATGTTAGGCCCTTGTAGCCTAAACATTTATGTTTAATACATTTTAGTTGAATCAAATAAAACATTTCTTTCTAAAGTTACTTTTTTTGTAATAGCTACTTAATATTTTTCACATTTAACACAATAATGGCTTTAAATTATGTTTTGGGAGTATTTTCACAGCCACATTTAATTTGTGATTAATTGGATTAATCGCCACATCTTGTAATTAATTAGATTCAAATTTTTAATTGACTGAAAGCCCTAATTATTATTAAAACCGTAATACTGCCAAATATTATGACAATTTAAAACAACTGTTTTCTATTTATATATTATGTAATAGGATTTTAAGGATTTGATCACTTTAATGCATCTTTTCTGAATAAAATAATTTATTTATTTCTAACTGACCCAAAAATTTGTATTGATAGTGTATATTTTACTTATTAAAATATTTTAATGTAATGCATTTCAAAATGTGGCTTTGGTGTTCAAATACTTTTTTTCAGGCCACTGTGTCATCAATACATATGCCTTTTTAACAGTTTTTTTCTTTTTCCTCAAACAATCCTTCTGATAATGATACCACACCTTACCATTTTCAAAAAGAAAAGTCTATATTCTTTCTTACAAGTCTACACTCCAGAACATCTTACTGTATAAAGATTCAGTGATGCTTAGATATGCCATTTCAGCTTCCTGCTGCTGTTCAAGAAATCACTCTTGAATTTGAGGTATTACCATCATGGAATATAGAACACCATGAGGGAACAATATCTGCACCATGGGATATGTCTGATCCAGTAAATTGGCTTTTATATTCATGCCATGCAGTTCTATGATCATGTAGCGCAAACTCTGGACCAAATGATGCACATGAGAAGGAAACACATGCCATGACAAATCCATCATCATGTTTTGCAGCAACAAACAATGTGGGTTTAAGGTATAATTTTTTTTCTTTCCCAAAATGTAAACCCATGCAGGTATCAGAAACAAGTTTATAGATGACTTCTCTGATCCATGAGGGTTTTTTTTTTTCCTCAAGGCTCCAGATTTTGTGCACTGGCCATAAATTACTGCCATAAGAAGCATGATGAACTGTTCTTGTTGAGACTGGGACAGACGTACTAATTTAATTCTGCGCTACTTCTTGAGGTTGCAGTTTTGGGGAATTTGACAGCTATCTTGTCGGTGCATCACTGTAGGTGTCAAATTGCAAACACTGTTGCTTGAGTCTGAAAATTTGGTCATCATTTACTCAGTCATTTCAAATAATTTTGAACACAAACGATGACATTTTCCAGAATTGTTAGAACTGTTTTTGTCCATATAATGAAAGTTCTATCATGACAACTCTGAAGATTTTAGCATGGTAATGGATATGACAATGTAAATGTATTTGGTCTTGGTGGAATAGATCTGCTAAGTACAGGAACTTGCTACTGCCAGTACATACACCGATACGATGATGTGAGTATTTAAGACATTCTGCTGCTACACAAATAGAATATATAATAACCTGCAGCAGATCTATACAGGTGGAGCTGGGGAAGGTGGAGGGTTTCAGAGGAACTCTGAAAGCGCACTGCGAACTGCTCTACTGAATGCTAACCAGCCATTTAACTGTAAAGCAGCAAGCTTATTGGCTGCATATGCAAAATGAACCAATCAGCTTGTGCCAAGTAGTTTAACGCTGTGAATATTATCAGTTTGCTTCAAGGACCCATCAGCCTGCGCTATCTAGAGTTTCATGACAGAACATGGCATTTAGTGGGGTCTAAAACAACATTAGACCACACTGACTTTCGTTGCATGGAGAGAAAAACTTTCATTGCATGGACAGAAAGACATTTTTCAAAATATCTTCTATGTTCCACAGATGAAAGAAAGTCATAAAGGTTTGGAATGACTTTAGGGTGAGTAAATGATGACAGACTTTTCATTTTTGGGTGAACTCTTTAATCTCTGTTAAAGTCAACAGTTCATATAAAAGCCTCAAGCTGTTTTGAAAAACACATATCAAGAGGCTAACAAAGTGCAATTGTCAGACCTCTTTGTCGGTTTTAATTGGCAATCAACTTAATGTGACCACTGCCGCTACGTTATTAATTGTAATTTGGTTATTTCTAAAGTCAAGAATTTTTGTGTTGTTTTGTGCAACTATATAGAAAACTGTAGCATAAGAAAATGTATTTGCATTTGCTTTTTAAACAATCTATTGCTAGCAAGTCTATCTTTTCAAGCAACTCACTAGGTCTTTCCCTCTCTTCTCGACCTCAGGGTGAGTTACTCATTCAGTTCAATGACAATTATAACATTGTTCAAGTGACCCGGACATAGACATCTAAAGAGTTAATACCCAAGCCTATTGAATGTGGATCAATAGACTCAATTGGTTTTACCCAGAGAGAACAGGAGGAAAATAAAAAATCAAAAGACAGGAAATTTTGTGTGCATGCAAGGGGTATTTTCTTGGCTGTCAGCCTTATCTCAATCCCTTATGTGGAATCCATTTCAGTCAGTGGATGCTGCTAAATGGTGTGGCTAATTTATCACAACAAAAACCAGTCTTTAAGTCAGAACACTCATCCATGTAATTAGCTGCTCAGTGGTGTTGAAAAAGTGCTCTCCTCCACTACAATGAGCTACATGTGTTGTTTCTCTTCACATAGCTGCTGAAAACGGTCCAGTTACCTTGGTCACAGTTGTCACCTTTGAAGCCAGGGTTACATATGCAGGATCCTGTAACACACAAGCCACGACCCCCACACTGGGCGTCCATACATTGACCACTGGGCACATCACACTCAATTCCTTTCCATCCACTGTAGCACTGACAGCGCCCCACGTTGTACTGGCCATTTCCGCTGCACAGCACTGGACATGCCGCTAAAAGAAGGAAAGAAAATAAAGCTAGAAGGATAAAGGTAGAGCACAGATGGGAGAATCTCACCAAACATGTCCAGGATGTTTTACTTTCAAATTGTTGTGCAATTTCCATTAGTTTCAATGATGATTCTCATTAGATTCTCATTACTGTAATACAGTAATAAAAGTCATCCTTCCAGACAGTTATTTCCAGACAAAGCCTACAACCTAAATACAGTACCAGAATCTTACTGACTTAAATCTTAATTAATTTTAATTTTACGTTTTATTTTATATTGTAATTCTTATAGATAGATAGATGGATGGATGGATGAAGAGGTTCTTCACAGGTTTTGTGAGATTCATCCTGACAGCGAAAACTATATAATTAGAAGACACCACACACCTCTCGAGCAATATGGCCCAAGGAATCCTGGGAAGCAATTACATGTGCCTGAGACACATTCTCCATTGCCATAGCAATTGTGTGGGCATTCCATCACCGACTCTGCACAAAGAAGGCCAGATAATACAATTACATTTTATCTGTGGCGCATTAACTGCATTTTTACACTGCTTCATATTTGTGTGTCAAGAATTATAATGAGTCTCTATGGAAGTGGCCTAATACTGAATTCCCACTTAATAAATAAATGTATAAATAATTGAAAAAGCAAGTACTTCCCTTTCCTTTTTTGCTGTAAATAAAAACAGATCCCTCCCCATGACCGCATAACATAAAACAATATATATATTTAAAGATAAAAACAAACAGCTCAGCAGCTCAAGGCTTAGAGATTTAGTCTTTTGGCCTCCATATTCCCTGGCCTGACAGAAGGAGATAGCGGCAGAATCAAACTCATTGATTAGGCAACATCTCAGGGCATGCTTCTGCACGCCTCATTATCACTGCTGCGCTATCTCAGGCACTTGGTTGCAAGACAGAAATTTAAAAGACCATCTGAAAGCACCTATAAAAGCTTGTTACAACAGCCCAATTGCTCTGTCGAGCGTCACATTACACAATGTTGGGTATGAAATTACATTTTCAGCTTTGATGCATAAATAAGCAGGAAACACAAAATAACCAGTCACTCTCTGTGGTGCACAAACAAAAACAAATGTGTATGCACTCAATCACATGACGTTACATGGTTGTATTACATGTGCTAGCTCACCTAGTACTATGGTGCTGTATGAGACAGGCTCTACGGTGCGGCCATCATTGTAAAAGGCCAGGTGCCACACACTGGTATGCAGGTACTGAATAAAGCCTGCCTGCTGAACGCTAACCGGATTCTCCAGTCGGTCCCTGAGCTCCGGATCCAACTGAACACGCTCTCGTGAGATGAGCCTACTGCCATCTAGAAGCTCCACAAAGTCGTACTGAAACAAACACAATTACATTAACCACTATTATTCAGCTGTTGTCAAATGTGTTACAACAAAGTAAAAGGTAAATTTAATATCCAGACACCATGACATTTAGGCTGCCATTACCCTGTCTGATCCAAAAATATCATCCCAAGAAATCTTTTAAAATACAAAGAAAAAAAGTATATTTTTCATTCATTTGGCATCACAGAGTGTGTTATTCACAAGAACTTCCCATACTTCAAGCAGAACATTAAAATAAATAGACAGACCTATTCACTGAAGACTCTAAAGTTTCTCCAATTGATTTCCTACTGGTCAGCTACCAAAAGCAATAAGAAGACACATGGCAAATTGGAAGCAGCACTCAATAAGCTTGCTTGAGTTTATTGTGATGGCTTTGGGGACACATTGATTGAACATCTACAATCCTCAGCACTTACGAAATATGCTGCTTTTATTGACAGCTGTGAGTGTTAAACACCCAGCCAATCACTAAGACAGAGAGATGTCTTTCTGTTGGAGCAGTTTGTTTTGTTTTGTTATGATTAAAGTAGGATTTGTTCTTTCTGGTGATTAACCTTGAACGTCTGATTCCCTCAACTGTTTTTATATTGAATAGCTTCTGTCAACAGGCAGTCAACAGTTTTATCTGTGGTTTAATAAACGCCAAATAATGAAGCTAATTCATTCATTCTGGAAGATTAAAAAAGTTAATTGACCTTATTTTTAAATAACTTAATAATTAACTAATTTAGCCACTTGTGACTTATTTGAGACAATTAAACAAGAAGACTTTGATACTGTATTACCTGGGTGTGTGAGGGTGGAAGTCCCCTCCTCCCATAGACTCCAATCAGGGCATTTTTCTGAATGGAAATATTAAACTTGAGAAAGTGGGGTTGTTCAATGAGAAGTCTGGACCTCCAGAAAACTCCTGGTGGAACGGCATGTGCTACCTGCTGACCCAACTCCACCTGCCCTGTGTCCAACGTGGAGTTATACTGCAGCATCACTCCTACCCTTCCTGTGAGCAGACACATATTAAAACAATATTGACTAAATAAGTATCTCATACAACATATTATACCATATTTGGATTAGTTACATAAATACCTCTATTCAACAAGGACACGTTATGTTTTATAGTTTTTTGTATTTTTGCCTTTGTGATTAATATTACACTGAATCCACAAGCCCAGACAGGGCTGTACAGTGCGACATATATGTCGCACGTGCTACAAAAAAAACTGGTCTGTGCGATGAATAAATTTACCACTGTAGCACGGGTGATTTGATATTTATTCACAGTTCACTTATCAGATGTAAATGTGCAGTTAGATATTAAGTAAGGTTCTTTATTGTTGGGCAATCATGCATATTTCATTTTTTATTTATTATTTGTTTGTAACGCAGCAGCAAGATTCATTTTTAATGAGCCAAAAAGAATGCACGTCACACCTCTGTCTATCAATTTGCACTGGCTACCAATAGCTGCTCGCATAAAATTCAAGGCTGTGCCTTCCTGGTGGAATGACCCGCCCAACTCAGTCTGATCAGCTGAGTCCTTAGCCAACTTCAAGAATCGGCTAAAAACACATCTCTTCCATCTATATTTGACCCTCTAACTCTAGCACTCTCTATTCTAATTCTATTCTTTAAAAAAAACAAAAAAAACACTTGTCCCTTTTAGACTTACACTCATAGATGTACACATTTGCTGCTTGTTTTCTTTATAAAAAACAAACAAACAAAAAAAAAACTAACACTAGCGTTCTAATCTTTTTGTATTCTATCTGTATTCTTTTTATTTATTATATTATTTAAAAAACTCTTGCTACGTGTACTGCGTTAAGCTAACTGAGACTTGATATAGCACTTGCATATATCATTGCTCTTTTGTTGATTTTGATTGCTTCCATTGTCCTCATTTGTAAGTCACTTTACTCTTGCTACGTGTACTGCGTTAAGCTAACTGAGACTTGATATAGCACTTGCATATATCATTGCTCTTTTGTTGATTTTGATTGCTTCCATTGTCCTCATTTGTAAGTCGCTTTGGATAAAAGCGTCTGCTAAATGACTAAATGTAATGTAATGTAATGTTTGTCCAAATTTTATTCACATACTCAGTCAAATACTAATGCCAATCAGTCCAGTCAAGACAGTTTCATTTTAGCCAGGGCCAACAGTTGGATAAAACCAAGGGTCTTCTTTTCAAGTCTAAAATTTCAAAAGAAAATTTAATTAAAATAATTTTTTATATTCTCTCTATATGTTTAGAGATAAATGGTCTCTTCACTGATTTTCCTGATGAGAGCCTCTAAATATCAAACATTACCCTAAAACTTGCAGTAGGCATTTGCCATGCTCTTTCATACTCTCAGATGACAGATGACAGAGTTTATACAACACAGGCAAACATCTATATATCACACTTCAGAAAGAGGCAGTAAGTCAATTCAAAGAAAACAATATAGCATGACAGGCTCGCACTCAGAGTGAGGAAATCGTCTTTTATTGACTTGCTTCAAACTGATGCTTTCTAAACATGGTAATTAGGCCAAACCTAGCACAGTGGGTGCTATTCTTTGGAGACTGTCACTCTTCAGTGAAAGACGTTATCACTATTGTTTCTCTGTAGTACTTTAGAAATCTTTAAAGTCAACAAGAAACAACATTCATGGCCCTTTTCACTTATTTTATCCATTGGTAATTGACTGGATTGAGGAAAAACGACTGTTGCATACCTGAATGGACCAATGTGGTTAGCTGTCTTTTATATCTCACAATTGCAAATTTCTATCTCACAATACGACTTTATGTCTCTCAATTGCAACACTGTTCCCTTTCAGTCGGTCACTCTCGACGTCACGTCGGATGACCGACGAATTGGGATCTCGCTTAAAGAAGGGAGGTCGTTGGGGAAGAATGACCTGGTCGTCAGGTTCCTTAAGGGCGCGAGAAGGTTAAATCCTCCACGGCCCCCCTCTATACCCTCTTGGGATTGTGACATATCTTACAAGGTGACTATGTCTCTAAATTGCAACAGTGTTTCCTGTAATCTCACAATGTGACTATATCTTTCAATTATGACTGTTTCTCATTGTGTGACATCATTAACATTTGCGACTTTATTTCTCACAACTGACTGTGTTTTGCAATTGAGGCTTTATACTGTATCTCAAATTGTATTTATCTCACAATTACCACTTAATATTCCATTCAAATGCACTATACTGCACTAAGAACAAGAAAGGAGCTGAAAAGAAAACACTACTCTACAAATGAGTAATCTTTGTGGCTTGAAAGAAATAACTGCAATCTATATATGATGTATCTAAAATATCTCATAGGGATGTGTAAATGCAGTCCTCTGTGACTGAAAGGTCATTGATTTCGGCCTTGAAATGTTACCATCTGCTGAAATTGCAGTCACAGTGTTGGTCGGGAACGTCACTGGTTTGGCTTGTCCATTCTCAAAGGCGTGATTATCCACATCCTTCAGTTTCCAGTTCAGGCCAAGTACATGCATGGCTGCGAGAGAAAGCAATTAAGACCGTGAAACGGAACAGCAAGCACATATCATGTCATGAGACATTCTCATTTGCAAAAGGATATAGTTTAAAAGCAGTTGAAAGCCACTCTGGAAGGTGATTTGCAGTCTCCTTTACGCATGTGTTGGACACAAGTGCAGTGCATATAAAAAGAAAACCTCTCCCTCATTAGAATCTGCTCTAAATAGTGCAAAATGTCTTTTTTCTGTTTGAAAACATGTTCTTTGAATTATCGCTGCTTGGGGTCTTGACGCAAACTGTTTTGAGTATACTCCAGATTAGTCTTAATCTTGTCACTGAAAACATTTATTGCAGAGAAAATGGAATTAGATTCCAGTGATTAAAAACAAAAAAAGAAGGAAAAATGCGAAAATCAAAAGCCTGAAAATCAAAACATGTCTGCGTTATATAATGCAGGAGTTTCTCCCATTCTCTCTTCCCCCTTGCCATCTCTCCTCTTTTCCCCATTCTCTCTTCAAAACATTCTCTTCTTCATGCACTGCTGATAAATCTTAGGCAAACACTTTCTAGTTGTTTTTTTTAACTGCTCGATCTGTGTGAAAACAGCTTGGGAAAAGTCTCCTTCAAAGTTCACAGCGAGGGAGCTTGCTGAGGAGGCTGCGCTTCACACACCTCTCTTCCTCTCGCTTTGATCTTTGGAGGGATGAATGTTTCTAACAGGCCTTCAGCAGGGGAGGAGGAGCCTCCGACTGCGGCAAATAACTCACAGTGGGGAAACAATGTTAAAAACTGAGAGAATTAAAAAATGGAGGTTATAATGTTTCTGTGGACTAACAGAGTGAATATAGATTGCTGTGTGGACAATAAGATCAGTTCATGCAGCTTTTGCTCCGCTCCAGATATTAATCACTAAACTGATGTTTTGTTTTGTTTTTTTCAGTGTATGTGACTTCCTAGAGATAGGGCGACTATTTAGAGCAGAGCACCAGGTGTTTTGGCCACAGGTGAAGGTTGAGGAAGGAAAAACTCCACCTAATGAGCTATTTCGCTATCTCTTATGGGGGCAGGCTGGATAAAACAGCTCACACCTGAGTACCTCATGGTCACATAAGGGCGTGCAAACACACACACACACACACACACACACACAGTTACCTATACAGTAGCAGAGCAGAACTGACAGCAGGGTGGCCACGCCTACAGCACTGAGAGCGGTGCATTTCCATGAACACCGTTTAGGTGACTTGTTAAATTTGAATGCACCTCTTGATAGTGTGTTACGGGTTAAGGGACGGGCTGGTGGAGAGTAGACAGCCCCGGTCGCCATAGTGTAACCGGGATTGGGAGCTGTGAAGAGAGACGTGGTGCCTGTTCCAGTCTTAAGCAGGAAGTGCCTATAGGGAAAGGGAGATAAGATATGAGATGATGAAATATAAAAACAATAACCTTGCTGAAAACTTTCAGAACGAGCTGTGAAAAAAAAGTAGCAGTGCCTTTTTTAAAAGTTATATTAAAATGTCTGACCTATTGAGAATTTTAAAGTTAAAGGGGTCATATGATGTTGCTAAAAAGAACATTATTTTGTGTATTTGGTGTAATGAAATGTGTTTATGCGGTTTAAGGTTCAAAAAACACATTATTTTCCACATACTGTACATTATTGTTTGTCCTCTATGCCCCGCCTTTCTGAAACGCGTCGATTTTTACAAAGCTCATCGGTCTGAAAAGCGAGGTGTGCTGTGATTGGCCAGCTATCCAGTGCGTTGTGATTGGCCGAATACCACAAGCGTGTGACAGAAATGTTACGCCCCTTACCATACTGTGATGCCCTGTCCGAGACAAAAACGAGACAAAAACATTAAAACCCATTATAAACGAGGCATTTGTTGCATCCAAAAATATATCTTTTTCATTGACATATCACTATTTTAATCACCATGGAAACTGCAGCTATAGCTTTGCTATTTCTTTGTTGTAGATACAAGGTTTTGTATGTAACAAAAGCTGTAATTTAATAAGCTGCCATTAAAATCCTAATAGCTTCATTGATTTAAAGGGCTGTCATTGGATCAGTGCCTGTACTTGTATGAAATGAATGTCTCTAACGATGGACTATGATGGAAAGAACCACACAAAGTCAAGTCAAAGTGAACTGTGGTTAACTGAACTCTAGATTTTATAATGACAAACATAACCCATAATGATGTGTATGCATCAGCATCTGATGGCAGTGTTTTCTGCTCTGCTTTTCATCAGTGGCGCTCCACCGCAGCCAAATCTTCAATGCCATGGCAAAAGAAATCATTTTTTACCTGAGTTGTTAATGTTACGTTTTCTGTCTGATTTAAATGTGATGAGAAAAGCACAAACCACAAAATCACAACAAGAAAAGTTTTGAGCTCATAAAAACTCACAAACTTTAGAGTTTGAACCAGTCTGATGAATCCCTCACTGGATGAACACTGAATGACTTACTGATATCCTTCCTACAATACTCTAATTTTTTGTGAAACAGCATCATTAATTTCAAAAGTCTGGGGTCAGGAAGATTTTTTTATTTTTATTTTAATACTTTTAAAATAAAAAGCAGCATAAGTGTTTTCAATATTGTTTCAACAATGTTTATTGAGCACAAAATCTGTATATTAGAATGATTTCTTAAGGATCATGTGGCACTAAAGACTGGAGTAATGGCTGCTGAAAATTCAGCTTTACCATCACAGGAATAAATTGCATTTTAAAATATATTAAGATAGAAAACAGTTGCAATAATAATTTACACGGTATGTTTTTCAATGCATTTTTGTGAGCATTCTTTCAAAAACATTTAAAACATATTAAATGTTGAATGTAGTGTGTATATATAAAATAAAAATTGTATTAAAATATCACTTTATTTATTTACTTATTTTTCAAATTCTTTAAACTGGACAATTCAGTCCTAGTAATGTGCCTATTAATGTACAGTGGGTATAGAAAATAATCACCCCCTTTTAAAATATTTTTTTTGTTTTTGTTTTGCAGCCTGAAATGAAGACGGACACAGTTTTTGTTTTATCCAGCTGTATTTACTCAGTGTGACTTATAACATCCAAGTGAAAGATATAACACCAACATGTCAGAAAAAAAAAACAGAATCACTGAGATGGAAAAAGGATCATCCCCCTCCTAAAATTGACTTGTAAACTCAATCAGGTGTAGCTAATCACCTTCTCAATGGCACACAAAGCCATTTGACTTTCAACTGTGATCAGCTGTGGTCATTTTGATAAGCTCAGCATGAAAAGAGCTTTCCTGGAGCCTTTCAGCCCTTGGTAGTGCAACTGAAGCAAACAATCAACTACGGGAGGCAAGGCACTGTCAAAAGATCTCTGGGATAAATTTGTGGACAGGCACAAGTCAGGAGATGGATACAAAAACATTTTAAAAGCTTTACCAATGCCTAGAAGCACAGTGAAGTCTTTTATTAAGAAGAGGAAGGCATTTGGTACAACACAGACCATCCCTGGATCAGGACGTCACTCCAATCTGAAAGAGTTAGGAGGAAACTGGTCAGAGAGGCAACCAAGAGGTCTACAGCAACTCTGAAGCAGTTACAGGCATTTATGACAAAGAATGGTCTTTGTGTGCATGTGACAACAATATCAAAAATGCTCTACAAATGTGGCTTGTATGGGAGGGTTCCAAGAAAAAAGCCACTCCTCAAGAAAGGCCACATGCAGTCACAACTGAGCTTATGGACAGATGAGACTAAAATGGAATTATTTGGCCTCAACACCAAACGATATGTCTGGCAGAAATCCAATACAGCTCACCATCTAAATAACAGCATTCCTACAGTAAAGCTTGGAGGTGGTAATATCCTGTTATGGGGGTGTTTCTCTGCAGCAGGGACTGGAGCACTTGTCAGGATAGAAGGAAAAATGGATGGGGCAAAATACTGTCAGATTCTGAGGAAAATCTGCTGCCCTCTGCCAAAAAGTTGTCAATGGGAAGAAACTTACCTTCCAAAAAGACAATGACCCGAAGCACACAGCAAAACTAACCACACATTGGTTGAAGGAGAAAAAGGTGAATGTCCTTGCATGGCCTAGTCAGAGCCCAGATTTAAAACCCATTGAAAGTCTATGGAATGACTTGAAGACTGCAGTCCACAAACTGTCACCATCAAATTGAACTGAACTTGATCAGTTCTGCAACGAAGAGTGGGCAAATATTGCAAAGTCTAGATGTGCAAAGTTAGTAGAGACAAATCCCAACAGACTAAATGCTGTAATTAAAGCAAAAGGTGGTTCAAATAAAATACTGACACAAGGGGGTGGTCCTTTTTCCAACTCTGATTCTGTTTTTGTTTTTTTTTTCTGACATGTTGGTGTTATATCTTTCACTTGGATGTTATAAGTTGCACTGAGTAAATACAGCTGGATAAAAGAAAACTGTGTCCGTCTTTTTCAGGCTGCAAAGCAACAAAATGTAATTATTTTAAAGGGGGGTAACTCTTTTCTATACGCACTGTATATGTGATATAAACACAAACACAGTCACTATATACATGCATATATCTATATAAAACACATTGTATCCAAGCCAACCATTCTTTGCCTAATTGTATACAGTATATATAGGCTTAGGATTTTATACTTTAATATTTTCTAAAAAACATTTTTTTAAATTGAACTCAGGATTTTTTGTTTGTTTGTTTTGCTGGCTGTAATTCTGCTTCAAAACAGGGCAGTTTGCTTATATTTTGATTTGTTCCCTTTTGTTGTTTATATAATTCATACCACACACATCAATAAAACAGACATTCTCAGATTCATTTTCAGCAAATGTTCATGTGTTGTTGGTGGTTCCCGTTCACTGTGTTGTGCTGGCTGTTACATTGCCAGTCTGCTGCTAACTCTCTCCCTGGCGGCCTCACACTGGCTGCTGCGTGACTGCTGCGTACAGTCTTGTGTCCTGGAGGCATTTTACGGTTGGTGTGCTGTCGGTCCTCCTCATACAGCTGCTGTGGATGGAGGGCCATTTTTTTGGCCATTTAATTTTTCATTTAAGTTTACTGAAATGTGATTAAAGAAAAAAACAAACACAAAATAATAACAAGAAAATGTTTTGAGCTCATAAAAATTCACAAATTATATACAATCTATTATTTGCTCCTAGGCAAATGTGCTGCCTTTATACTTTTGACCAAATTGCGTTCTTGTCTTTTTTCCACTGTACAAACTTGTATAAGTATAATAAACGTTATATCAATACTGTTATAATGGATATTATTGTTCAGAATATATACATACTGCTTTGATATACTTATATATATATATATATATATATATATATATATTTATTTATTA